AGCTCAAATATCCTTAAATTGATCATCTCGGCATCAAGATGCATGGACATGAGTAAAAAATGGATTTCAAGTCTTGAAAATAGCATATTTTGTAACGTATTTTTGGACCTTTAATTTTCAAGATTTTCATGTTTTCACATATCAAACGATCTGTACTATTTTGAAAGCTTTAAACTTTATAAATAAAGATAAAAACATATTTTAAGGCTATCATAAAGATTTCCAATATTAAAAGCACATTTCTCAAAACCATTTGAAGGTAAGCTCTAGTTAGCCTTCATATATTGAGGTGATCCATTAGACTGTTCTCCAACATCAAAACAGCCTTGTTTTACGTTGATTTTTGAGATGCACCGTTTTTGCAATCTTATATAAAATTTTTTTGGAGTAAATTCCTTCGCAGGGGTAATTTTGTTATTATCAATGATCTAGTGGCATTTTACTAAACTCTCACTTACAATAAGTTGTCCACTTCATCCTGGCTGTATCACGTGTCTTCAATTTGAACAGTTTACCCACCCAGGAAATGTAAAAATCTAAATTTAATCCAAGTAATTTTCTTTTAACTTGCCCACCAATGGCAGAGTAATTACGAAATTGTTCCTCAAGTTTTGGTCAATGTTTAGGTTCCCCACGACTACTGAAGGACGAAAAGACAGATGGAAACAGTGGATCAAATGTCGTTCAATGGGAAGGGATAAAACCGTTAATTGGCTTTTAGTGGAAGGGTAAATTTGACTCTTGTACTAAACTATTGGGTGGGAATCCTTTACTAAGATTGCGTCCCTTTCTGGGGCAGGGATAATTCAGAAATTGACAGATGCAAACAGGGGTACTGACGGTACTATCACTGCTATGACAGCTTGGCGACTTGAAAAAAGAAAGAGAACGATAATAATAAAAAAAAGCGTCAAACCTAAGTCCACAACGTTTCTTTTCGAGTGATCCTTATAAATAGGTATATTAATTTTGAGCAATGATGCACTGCTATCGTAGTATAATGCAAGGACATTTTAAATAAATTATGTTTGTGGTATTGTAAGACTCTAAATTTTACACACATACTCTCTTCATCTTAATAATCAATCACCAAAAAAAAAAAATTCAGTTTGAACTTTAGATATTGTCAAAATGAGTCTTTTTCAAAAATGAATCTAGACCATTTTCATTTTGTGAATTTCAAGATCTTAGCCTTTATAAAGTCAAAATCATTTTTCTTTCTTTTTTAACATTGTTCATCTAATGATAATAAAGCCATTCAAAAAAATTGGAAATGAAAAAAATCCTTCTAAAGCCTAGATCTAAGCATCTCGCTAAAATGAACGACCTATGGTAATTGGGCTAAAAAAAATATAGGTTATGTTTTCAATTTTTTCTTTTTTTTGCAATTGTTCATTAGAATGAAAACAGTGTATATTTCAAAATTTGGATCAAACAAGTAGATATAAGATGGTTTTTTTAAGTTATTGCATCATATTACTATACAACGGTTGTATGAAATCATTGCCCATTAATTTTTCATATTTGTCAATATTTTGTGAGCTAGTTGCCTATTTTGAGCACTCAAAGGATCAGTGTTATAAAACCCGATGATTTTATGATTTGGATGAGAATTGGTTGGGGCCCAATGCGTTCTTAAAGGGTATGATTCCTAGCCCAATTTTTTCCTTAAAACCTGACTTTACTATTATTATTTTCTTAAAACTTATCTAATGTTTTTATAGATGTCTTTAAAACACCACCTTATAGATCCATGTTTTGATTGTTATTTTATGGATTTGTATACAATGATATTATTTACTTTTGGTACGTAGAGGTTACAATTACTTACAATCATCTGATGTGAAATATGATAGTTTGGGTGTTTCGTGAATTTCAAAAAAAATTATTTTAAGCTCTGAGCTTGGTCAATTAAATCAAGGCAATCACTCAATTTTACATCAAATTGTCAATATTAATTGTGACCATCTTGTACCAAAGGTAAATGATCTCATTATATATTTTTTTTTATTTTATTCGATTTATTTTTTACTGTTTTAAAGATTTTTTATTCAGACCTGTCAATACCCTATCCAAATACTTAATTGAATGATTCGATACATATCTATGGGTGAACAATCTACCCCACCGTTTGCGGTTTTGAAACACTGCGGAAACTATTTGATGACAACAATAAATCTCCAATTTTTCATGGCTTTATATTTTCTTCATGTGGAAGGTTAGCAAAAGGCCCACACTCTATCACGAAATTTAAAGCCATGTTCCCTACATGAAAAATCCAGCTGCCTCTAAGAATTATGGAGATCTATCGATCAAATTATTGTGCACTTGAAAGTACACGGTCCAGATTATGTATTATATAAGATACACTATTTTTAGAGCATAAAACCTATATTTTCTCTTATCCACAATTTTGATTTTGTATCATATAAGATATTATACATAACAATGTGAATGGAGGGTGGACATTAAGTTGAGGCATCCACCCCCTAACCACTAATGTCCAAACCCAGTCTTCCCTTCTATCCACTTAAAGGAAAAGATTTATATAAGGTTGACATCTTAAAATATATAATTAAGGTGCACATCCAAAATCTTTTAAAAAGGTTTTTTTAAAAAAAAACATCTAATTAATCATCAAAAAAGATATTTCAAGTCTTCAAGTAAGTGCATCTTACAACAAATTATCTAGACCAACCATTTTCAATGTTTGAGTTTATAGATTTGCTTCATTTGAATCATTTTTGAAGTTTAAAAGGTTATAATTAGAGATGGAAATAGGTTCCAATATTAAAAAAAAAGACAAAACTAGATTCCTGCAACATCTTATGAATTTTCGTCATCAAAATTGCATGAAAAACTTTGGAGGTGCACCTTACTTTGATTGTTTAACCTTACAAACTTATGCAAACCACACCTTGAAAGAATACTTGAAATTTTGGCGGTTTAAAGAATCTGCCATTTTTTATCACTATTTTTCTTCTCATTATAAAACATGAAATTGTGTTAAAGTGTTGGTTTTTTAGCAAAATTTTCAAGGAGAATGTTGAAATAAAGCCAAGGCTTTATGGAAAAAAAGTAGAGCCTCGACTCAAAACTCACAAAAAATTATTGTTTTAATATAAGTAAACTTTCAAATCGGTTGTCTCAACCTTGGTCATTGTGGTTATAGAAAAAATTTCAGATTTTTAAGATCTAAAAATAGTGTATATTGTAACACATAATCTAGATTGACCCTTTTTAGGTCTTCACGGATCCACAAGATTCGTACCATTATTTGAGCAACACATTTCATAATAAGTGGTGGGCCATCTTTTGGATTTTCCATGCTTGAAGCGTTTGCAAGGCGAGGCTTTATTTATTTTTAATAAGGCCAGGGACTTATAGAAACTACATCATTTTTCATTTTTTTAAAACCAATGACCAACATAGCAGATTTGAAATTCCATATTTTGGGAACTTTTAGATCAAAATAAAAAAGAACTTTGTCCCAAATCAATAGGGAATACAGCCCCTACCGTTTTGGAAAGAGTCAATTTTTTGAAAACGAGAACGGAAGTTATGACCTTTTAAGTGAAACTCAAATGGTACTACCACCCCGACCAACCACGTTCTCTACTCTAAATCTCCTTTATGTTTTTAAATCCGTTTTCTCTACTTTTTATCTAATATCTTTCAAGAAAACACGATTATGGTCTAATGTCTTAACCGTGCATCTCATCATAAGCCCAAGCCAGAGAGGCTCACATTAACCTTCTCAATTTTTGGAAAAGGAAGTTTCCAGTAGATCTCTCTAAAAAGAGACGTCCCAAAACCATACTTAAAATGTAGAATTATGGTGCACTTCTAAAATCCTCCAAGAAAGTATGTTTTGATGTTAAAAAGTATCTAATTGGCTATCTCGATATCGAGAAGTATATATGAAGAGAAAATAGATTTCCAGTCTTGCAAATAGTATATTTTACAACAATTTATTTGGACCGTCAAATTTCAAGATTTTATGTGTTTATAAATTTGTTTCATTTGAATCATTTTTGGAGTTTAAAATTTAATAATTAGAGATAAAAAAATATTTTATCACCATCCTAATATATTTGACACCAACATTACATCTCATGGCAAAATTTGGAGGTGCAACTCAACTCATTTTGATTGTTGAAGGTTGCGACCTTGTGTAAATCATACCCTTGTCGCTTTTTTTTTAGAGTGAATTACGTATGGATACAAAAAAATATTGAAATACAAAATGAGTCAATTTTGACTAAAAATTACACAGAAAATCGGTCAACTTGAGGTTTTTTGTTTTTTTCAAAATTGCCTCTCAGTTTGAGGAAGCGATCCTCGGACCACTTTTTTTTCTTTCCTTTTTGATTTTTTTCGATAGTAGATCTGTGCCATAATGTTTGGAGCTATTCCCAATTAGTCCAATATTATCATTATTGGACCGCCTTCTTCAAAGGTGATATGAGGTTGGCATCCTCAGACGCAAAGACAGAAATTGTTAAGCATTCAGAGACGGTCTGAGCTGCCCATTCTTAGACCGCCTTCGATGCTCTTCAGGGCGGTCCGCATCCTCGAATAGCATTACCTCCTTTGTTTGCTAAAAAATAATAACAAAAAACTATAAAAAGTAAAAAATAAAAAATGGCCCTTGGCATCCTCATTCCAAGGGATAATTCTAGAAAAAATAAAAAAACACCAGTTGACATAATTTTTGCGACCAATTTTGTAGATAATTTTGGTTTCTATGAAAATCCATTAAGCAGGTTTGTGGTGCTTTATTACTTTCCAATTGAAGCTACGAGTAAGCTCCAAAACCAGCCGAAATTTATCCAGAATCCTGCAGCGGAAAATATGTCCACTTGGAAAGGGTATTTTCGTCATTTTGAGGTGCACACTGTTGGACGAAAGGTTTGGGACTTTGGGTAGTCATCATTCCTCAAGGGAAAAAATGGGAGAACTTCATGCAAAGGCAAATGGAGTAGGAGAGAGAAAGTAGTATTTTTTTAGAGAGAGAAAGTACTATTTTTTAGAGAGAGAAACATTTTCTCGCTTTTTAGAGAGAGAGGGGGGCACTCTCCGCCTTATTTAATGGACCTCCATCACCTGCGGCTAGAGCCGCCATTCCTTCCTGAAACCGATTACCAATGGCTTCAAAAATGAAGTCTCTTGCTGCACTGCCCATTACTCTCTCTCTAACTCTTCTTTCTCTCTCTACAATATTTCAATCCTCTGCATTGGCTGATAAAATTACTAGCTTACCTGGGCAACCCACCATTAATTTTCAGCAGTTCGCAGGCTACATAACGGTGGATGAAGCTAAGCCCAGAGCTCTGTTTTACTACTTTGCAGAAGCTGAAACTGATCCAGTTTTGAAGCCTCTGGTCATTTGGTTAAATGGAGGTTTCTCTCTCTCTTGCTCTCTCTCTCTCTCTGGATAGTTTTGAAATCAGTCATATGAATTTGTTGGGTTGATGCAGGGCCTGGTTGTTCGTCTCTTGGAGTGGGTGCCTTCTCTGAGAATGGGCCATTTAGACCCAGTGGAAATGTTCTTGTTAAAAATCATTATAGCTGGAATAGAGGTATTTGAACGATTATTCGTTAGTTTTTCATGCTAATTTTAGTATAAACACGATTCAGATTCAACCCAAAATCTCCCTCTCTCTCTCTCTCCCCCGTTAGCTGTCAATGTGGTTTGAGTCTAACGGTTCCTTCTTTTTTTTTGGTGGGTAATTTTGCAGAAGCGAACATGTTATATATCGAGACACCAGCTGGAGTTGGGTTCTCATACTCTACTGATATTTCATTCTATGAGGGTGTTGATGATGAGAAAACAGGCAAGATCCCCATTTATTCCTCTCTGGATGGCCGGATTTTTACTACTATCGATTTTACGGCCAATTCCCGGCCAGTTCCTTCTGGTTTCTAAAATGGGTTCGATTTGTTTTTGTTATGGATGTGGTTTAGATTTTAGATGGTCATATATTGAATATTCGATGAGGCCCAAAGAAAAAGACCGTTGTTAACTTTTTCCCCTGTTCTGAGTCTTGAAAATAGTTTTTGATTTTAATCCTCTGTTTTCTTCCAGTTTGTCTAAGAACCCAAGTTTTGAAATATCCTGTAATTTCGGATTCAGAGGAGATTTTCAAGCTTACCCAAAATTCTTACTGTAATTTTCTCTGGATTTTTTGCTTTTTCAGCAAGAGATAATCTGGTGTTTCTCAAACGCTGGTTCATCAAGTTCCCTGAGTATAGAACGAGGGATTTGTTCATAACAGGAGAAAGCTATGCAGGTAATTGTAGAGAGAGAAATCCTATTTACCTACTTGAGAAAAACTTAGAGAGAGAGACTTCCACTGTAAAATCTGATTTTGGTTGTATTAATGGGGGTTAAATTTTCCAGGGCATTATATTCCACAGTTAGCAGAGCTTATGATCGAGGCCAACAAGGGTGAAAAATTGTTCAATCTGAAGGGCATTGCTGTAAGTAAACTGAAAGAGGGATGAGTGAGAAACTAAGTCAATGGTTGATGAGAGAGAAGGGCCCTGAACATTTATTGCCAGATAACGCCTTCTTTTCCAACATGACCCTTCTGTTCTTACTTTCCCAAGAATAACAGATATGCCGACAAAATCAAGCTTTTTTTTTCTTTTTTTTAATGTTTACTGTTAGTAAAAATTTTGTAGTAAAACTCAATTTTCAGTCCACTCTAGTCCATACGTATGTGGTGACATGGTCAGTATATCAGTATCTGTGGTAGTTTGTTCTCTCATATGCTAATTTTAAGGAAAAGGCTGCTTTTTATCAAGTGGGTTGTTGTTACTTGAGAGAGAGAGTAATGCTATCAGGCACTCTGTTTTACTGTTCTGATAACATACCAAAAAAAAAGCTTGTCTTTTATCAACTGGGAATTATTTTCAATTTTGATGAACAAAAGAGAGAGAGAGAGAGCCCCTAATGCAATTCAGTCACTCTCTGTTGTTCTGATAAGATACAAAAATAACATAAAGATATGCTTAAGAAAAGGTTGTCATTGATTGTTATTCTCTGATTATTGCAGCTTGGGAACCCACTTTTGGATTTCTCAACCGATTTCAATTCGAGAGCCGAGTTCTTCTGGTCTCATGGTTTGATATCAGACCCTGCATACAGAATCTTCACTTCCTCATGTAACTATTCACGCTATGTGAGTGAGTATTACAGAGAGAATGTGTCTCCTATTTGTTCGCGGGTCATGAGTCTTGTGAGCCGAGAAACAAGCAAATTTGTCGACAAATATGATGTTACTCTTGATGTTTGCATATCCTCTATCTTGATGCAGTCCAAGGCCTTGAGGCCCATGGTAAGTAAGAAACAGTACCTCTGGTTTCTTGATTAAAATTCTCCCTCTCTTTCACTCTCATTGAGAGTTTCAGTGTCCCCTATTGAATCTCTCTGTCTAAGATCTCCCTCTACATTGTTGGTGATCTTGGCTGTCTTTTCTGTTACAGCAAGTTTCGGAGCCTATAGATGTTTGTGTGGAAGATGAGACTGTGAACTATCTCAATAGGAAGGATGTTCAGAGGGCTCTCCATGCTCGTCTTTCTGGAGATGAAACCTGGTCGGTTTGCAGCAGGTATATACAAAGGATTTCAATCTCTTGATTGAAAAGAAACACCATATATGCATTTTCTTTTCATCTTTTGTTTTGAGTTTCTAATTGGGAACTACTGAAAGTATTTTTGAATGATTAAGAATACCATTTAGAAATCTCATGGTGAGACTAGATGTTCTTCACAATCCAAGAGAAGTCTTGCGAGAGAATTAAACTTGTGAAGAAACTCTATATTTTAAAAATCCTTCAGTATTTATTGAGAAGAAAGTATCCGTTAGTATTCAGTCTAATGCTGCTTAACTCTCTAGAAAACCTCAACTACCAAAAAAAGAAAATCCCTGATACTTTCTTAATAAAATTTGCAATCTGCTTGCATCAGTATGAATTATAACAGGCTGAATCTCGAGATCCCCACTATCTCGCTCTTGGGTTTGGTCGTCAAGTCTGGGATCCCTGTCTTGGTTTACAGGTAAAGCCCTTCGAATTCCCTTGGCATTTCTTCTATACCGAGTTCTAATTTCAAGAATTCAAGATTCTAAGTTTCTTGAGGACTCTCTCTCTCTCTCAGTGGAGACCAAGATTCAGTAATACCACTGACGGGAAGCCGAACTCTGGTTCATGGATTGGCTGCTAAACTGCACCTAAACACCACTGTTCCTTACAGAGTCTGGTTTGAAGGTGAACAGGTAAATTTTAGATTTTTGCTCAGTGAAAGAGTGAATAATTGATATATCCTTGAATCTATCACAACACTGAAAATTAATGGAGATAAATTGGATTGTGTCTCTATGTTTTGTTATCCACATAAGCCTCTACTTGCAAACGTCATCTGGCTTCTTGAATTTTTATTTTAAAGAGTGCTTGGAGTACCCACCAAAAAAAGGACAAAGGAAAAGATGTTTCAGCCAAAACCATTTCAAGCCTTTGCACTCTTTCTAATAGAAAACACACTCGATATCATTAAATTTCTGTGAATTCTGTGATTTTAATCAAATCAACCATTTTCGGCACATTGCTATTTCACAAAAAAGAAAAAAAGGAAGAAGAAGAAACTATGGTTGCTGATTTCTTTTCCCTTTTTTGCTTTTTTTTCTCTTTTTCAGGTAGGTGGCTGGACCCAAGTGTATGGAAATATTCTATCATTTGCCACTATTAGAGGAGCTTCACATGAAGCCCCATTCTCACAGCCACAGAGATCACTTGGCCTCTTCAGAGCTTTCCTTCAAGGCAGGCCACTACCAGAGACATTTTCATAGAAAAAAAAATACGCAAGAAAATACCTTTTTCCGTTTTTTTATTTTTCTTTTTTTCTGATTTTGCTGATCAGATGTCAAGAGAGTGGTGTGTGTATAGTTATGCGTTGAGAATAATATGAAAAGGTCATCTGCCTGAAAAATATGTCTTGCTACCATTTTTTCTCTTCCTTCTTCCTCTTCTCTTTTATTGGAAAGAAATGGAGATTAATCAAACTTATCCCCTTCTTTTACTTCCTTTTTTCAGATATAAAATCAGAAATCATGAAGTTTTAAAAGTCACCGTTTCTGTAATTTTTTTCATGAAATTTAACAAAGCTTCATTAACTTGGGAATTTCATCTGCAGTTCATCGAGTTTCTTCCCATTCATTTTCAAACCACTTCGGGTTCAAATAACAATGAACGGAAACACAATAGATACCCCAAACGCGAACGTGTTTATTTGGAGGAACGTCTCCAAAAGCGAAGCATTCCTTATCTCCTAAACTCTTTCTACTTGTTATGAACTTCCAGAGCAAACTACTGGATGCAAAATCCTGTAATGGTTCTCCCCCCTAAAGGTTTTCACTCTAAATGCGATTTTGAGGTCACTCATTTATTTTATACCGTCGAGGCTCTAATCTTTTGTGCTGCCTCTGGTTAAAAATATGGGAAATGTTGCGGTACTTCTCCCACAACAGAGAAGATATATCCTCTCCCTAGTCCAGCCATCCAATAGAGCGCACCTAAAAAAATATTAAATTTTTTTTTTCAATGGACTTTAATGACTTAAATAACTTTTGAAACTTTCAGGGTTATTTTGATCATTCTTTAGAAAATATTTTTTTTTTGTACAAATGGGAGTTTAGGAGAGGAGCGGACACCCAAAATTTGGTGTCAAAATATTTTATAGAAATATTAAAAAATAAAGTAGTGTAAAGACATGAGACATTGTGACTAGGGCCATCTTAGCCGTCCATTTAGAATGGGCCATAGGATAAGGAAAACCATATAAATTTTATGTTTTATAAGAAGCATATAGAACTTGCCTTAAAAATATTATGGGAGTATTGTTGGATTTGGTGCCATCCAAAATCACCCACATAAGAAAATATCATATTATGTGGGATTGAGGATTGAGATATTCTCATATTATGTAGGATTGAGACATAAGAAAATATCATATTATGTGGGATTGAGGATTGAGATATTCTCATATTATGTAGGATTGAGATATTTGCTTATTATGTAAAATTGATATTGATAAGTTTGTTAAATGAAATAGAAATCCAAAAAAGAATTAGGACAATTGATTATATGTCTCAGTCTTTTGAGATATGTGTAACATCAGGAATCTTACCTTTATATATATGAGATGAAAGTGTAGAAAATTTGTATGCCATATTTGAAAAAGTGTAGAGAATTTATGTGTCATATTTGAATCACTACATGGGAATGGTCGTTTCCTCTAGCGAGAGAGGCACTTTATGGAGAGAAAAGAGGGAGGCACCTTATAGAGAGAAGAGAGCTTTCTATAGATAGAAACATTGATGGTGTCTCTTTTAGACTCTCGAATATTGAGAAGCTACAAGAAACGATTCCTATTGAGATTTTGTGTTGCTTCCCCTTTTAGTTAGAGAAAAAGTCAGTTTCTTGTTACTCTAGCATCTCTATTTGTTGTTGTCGCTAATGGTTGTCAGAAGTAAAAATAATCCTTTTAGTTAGAGAAAATCAGTTTCTTGTTGCTCTAGTATTGTCGGTAATGTTATTATAGTAGATTTCAGTTTACCGTCCCTACAGATGTAGCCCTTCTGGTCAAGGTTTGTTCCAAAATCTTTGATATAACTTTCATTCGTATAATAGATTTCAATTTGTCGTGCCTGTGAATGACCATTATGGGGTGAACCATGTAAATCTTTGTGTTGTTGTGGTATGCCAAAAATCAACCCATCAGGTTTTGCTCACAAGAAATAGGTTGTAAAGCCACGGACCAACAACTGAATGGGGCTAAAGTAAGGTGTTATTCTTTGGGGTAAATAATGGACACAAATCTTGCATTTTGGACAATCTTGGGTTTGAGAGAGGGCCTTCCCTCTGAAATATATACGCCTTCCAGTATTTCAAGGCTCTCTTAAGCACTCATATTGTCAGTCTTATTGGCAAAATTATTGGGAAAGGATGTTATTTCAAGCCTTGTCTCTTTCTTTTGCAACCTGTATACATCTGCTTAAGTCTATGCTGAATGCATCCTCCATCTACTGGATATTCCTGCTCCCAATGAAGACTTCTAACATGATAGAAAGGATGCAGCACAATTTTTTGTATTTGCAACACTGCAGACTATAATCTGGCTGCCATGATGTAGCTAACCCGGATAATTATCCTGCTCCCAATGAAGACTGGATATTCCTGCTCCCAATATAATCTGGATATTCCTGCTCCTAATGAAGACTTCTAACATGATAGAAAGGATGCAGCACAATTTTTTGTATTTGCAACACTGCAGACTATAATCTGGCTGCCATGATGTAGCTAACCCGGATAATTATCTTGAATCCCTCATTTATGGTTGCAGATTCTTCAAACATAGATGTTTTTGCAATTCATTGATCTGGGCCACTAACAGAAATTTGCTCATATTCTTGAAAAGGCATCAGGAGAGGGTAATGTCCGATGGGTCATTAGAAATGGTACATTGGCGCTGATCCATGGCTTTCCAAAATTCCAATTTAGGATTCATTTAGTGCTAATATTGATAGGGTTTCAAACATGATTGCTTAAACAAAAGCAATTGATTATTTGCACGGTCTTCCGGCAACTTGGAACTCACCTACACCCTCATCTAGTTCTCACAACCGTGCATCTGGCCTTCTTATCCATGTTTGGGAGGAGACAAAATCTTAAGTTGCCTATACAACCGGCAGAGGATTTCCTGGGTTGGATCCACTCTTCTCATGGCCATTTCTCACTAAAAGGTGCTTGGGAATTTATCAGAAGCAGGGGGATTTGGTGTCTATTTTTAAATCCTTACAGGCTTCACATTCTCACCCTAGAGACAAATGGTTCTCTTGACAAATAGTATAGCATTTACTTTAGTCTCCTTCAAACTAAAGAAAATGCTATACTTTTTCAATGCTCACAATAGAAGGGGAAGATGTTAATCGTTTACTATTCCAATGTGCTTTTTTCAAAGGCAATATGGAGATCTATTGCTTGGTGGTGTGAAAAATTGATGGACCCCGAGCATTCTACTCATTTTCATCAAGTGGATTAAATTTCGAATGTGTGGATTTCCATCTTCACATCAACCATCTGGTTCCCTTGGATTGAACCCAACTAGCGTATCTTCGAAGGTGGATCCTCCAGACGTGAGTTGCTGCTTGCACCAATAATCCTCCATGTTAGAGCCATAGCTCTATCTGAGTCTTGGTCTCTTCTCCTGTCGGAAAAAGACCTACTACAGAAGCTCAAGATCCCATGGTTTCCACAGTCGATGTGCATATGCACAACTCTCATGGTCCAATCCTCGTCGGCACTTTCAAATTTAATATTGACAGGGGCATATTTTTGAAACCTCAGTGCTGTGGGTGGGGGAGGCGTCATCAACGATAGTTCAGGATGTTTTCTGGCAGCTTTTACTATACCACATGGAATTTCTTCTAATAACTTTGCTGAATTCAAGACCTTAGAAACAGGGATCTAATTGGCCATCCAAAACCAGTGCTTCCCACTAGTCATAGAAAGTGATTTCCAGGACTTGGTGGAGTCTTTCTGCAACCATTACCAGCCTTCATGGAGCCTTTCACACTCTCACATTTTTCCATCATATGCTACCTTCAACTGGTCAAAGTCGGGAGATTTTATACGCTTATCGACAATCTAACATGGTTGCAGACTGTTTGGCTAAGAGGACTGTGACATTCTATGAAGCCACCATTTGGAGGACCTGGCCCCCATATTCTTTATCTTTATTTCTTTTATATGATGCTGCAGCTATTACTTAATGATCGAGCTGCAACATAACTTACTATCGTACTCTTTTATCTTCTTATGAATGAAAAACAATTAGGGGCCCAAATTCTTCATTAATTTACACGAAAGAAAAATAAAAAAAAATTTAGTCTCTTGGAACCTTATGATCGTTAGTTTTGCAAAGGTGGGTGAGATTAGAGAAGTCAGAAAATGTTTTGAAGCTTCACCAGAGAGAGACACTCTTATCAATGGTTATTGGAGAATTGGGTTTTCTTTATCAGAGGGACGTGCTCCCTTTGATTCAATATTTCAATGCCTTCTAGGACTGTGGCTTCTTGAAATGCCATTATCTCTTGTTATTTGAAGAATGGGGAGTTGGTTTTTACGAGAGAATTGGGGTTTTTTCTAAGGCTCGAGTTCTCTCTCTTCCCCTCTCAAAGATAGTAACTAGATGAGTTTTTGTTTTTGGGTAATCAGTGGGGAGAGAGCCCCTACCCTTGGTAGGAATTGAGCCGTAACATTGTAGATCGTCAAGTGCTAACCAATTAAGCTCGGGCTCTTTTCAGATGAGATTTATTAAGCAGTTATTCGAGTTCTATCTTCCATGATTGGCTTTTTCATCATATTTTGATTCTTGTTACTTCCCAAGTTGTAAGATACGCCTTCTTTCTTTTTTGGTTACTATGAGGATTTGTCTTTCTTTGGTGTTAATGTCTGAGCAGAATTGTTTCTTTAGTTCTAGCTCAAGCATATTGTAGACAAAGTTGTTGCCTCTTGTTTCCATTATTAGTTTAATCAAGAGCTTCTATTTGATTTTGTTGTGATGAGTTACCATGAATTTTGGATCAGACTACTAAATGCAGCTTGTTTTGTTTGGCTTATTTAGAGGTTTTGTGATGAAATGCTTTTTTTTGCACCAATTGTAACATTCATTGCCTATATATTCACTTGGCTTTTTGTTTAGGGATTGTTTATAAAGAGATCATTTATCTTTTGTACATGGAGGTCAAAATCATTCCCACTCGTTTGATAGCTTGGAGTGAGTTATAAAGTCCGAGATTTTTTTTTAAAATTTTTTTTTTTAGAACTTTGTGTCTATTCAACGATACTCTTACAATCACCTATTTTAATATTTAAGGGACAAGAATGATTGTGACTTACCTTTACAAAAGTTAAATGGTATCTTTGTAG